AAAGGAATCAAACCGCACTGGTGCTGAGTATTCTCAAGTACCCGTTCTTCAGCTAGCCACAAGGACTTTGCTCTGCTTAATCTTTTGATGGGCCACAGCATTAACATCAGTTCCAAAGGGAGATTCCTGTTCTAATGTTTCAAGAAGAGGCCTGCTTCACCTTGATATCACTTACTACATTCTGTAATTTTGTGGGCCCCTGAGGAAGCCACTGAAACTTGTAGAAGTATTGAGACTTCATAGCCCAGCTGAATGCCATAGAAATTCTGGTACTCATGATCCAGTTTCATCATCCAACTATATTAGTTGCCTTCAGTTGGCTCTAAAGAACGCCTTTGATAAAAACCACAGTATCTCTCAGACTTTCTACGTGGAGGTCTATCCTGCTGGTTCTTGAACTGACTTCAATTTAGATGTTGTGATCTCTGGCCCTTGCTTCCCCGACATTGGATGAGTTGCAGTTTCAGCAACTATCTCTACCATGTAATTTGATATCAGTTTGTCTTCGATTAGCTTCCGTTTGTTGCAGCACTGAGTGACTTCAGGCTGACTTCAGAACTGACAAGAGAACCAGAGCAGTAAACCTACTGGTTAAGGGTCTACTGATTTCTGACGTCTTCCCATGGTTAGAATAATAGAATGTTAGAAAACTAGGGTTGCCAGGGACCGCAGGAGGTCATCTAGCCTAACCCTCTCCTCAAAGCTGGACCATCCCCAACTAGATCATCTCATCCAACGTTTTGTCTAGCCGGGTCTTAGAAACCTCGAAGGATGGAGATTTCACAACCTCTATGGGTAACCTGTTCCAGTGCTCTAATACCTTCCCCATGAGAAAGTTTTTCCTAACATCTAACTTAACCACCTCTGGGTGCAACTTAAGACCATTGCTCCTTGTTTGTCATCTGCCACTGTTAGCATCACTGTCTACCAGATAGTGCTTAATCATTAAAGAACAATTAACCCTTAAATGAAACATGAAATATGAATGAATACAACTCTGTGTCCTAAAATCAAAGTTTCACTTAAATGCAAACAATGCAGTGTTCTAAAATCAAAGTCTAACTTTATTAATACAACAAATATTATCTTAGCAGTTTCTATATTCAGAGACAGAAAAACATTCAGTACAATAATTTCATCCAATCCCAGATGTTACTTTGCTCAATAGAAAAAATGGGGACCACATTGTAAATGGGGACCACATTGGCTCTTTTCCGATCCTCTGGTAGCTGGCCAGTGCCCCACAAGTGCTCATAGAACCATGCCAGGGGCTCTGCTATGACCCCCGCCAATTCCCTCAGCACCCTCGAGTGAAGAGCATCTGGACCTACTGATTTAAACATGTCCAGCCCCTCCAAAAGTTCCCTAACTAGGTCATCCCTGATCCTCGGCATGGCGGTGCCTCCCCTGGGTCCGTCCACAATTCTAGTGGGGGAGATGTCCCAGTCTCTGTTCAGCAATATGGAAGCAAAGAATTCATTAAAGAGGTCAACTTTTTCATTAGCCGCAATCACCAGATTGTCAAGCCTATCCTGTAGGGGCCCCACATTACTCGGTGCTTTCTTCTTACTTCCTATGTATTTGAAAAAGGACTGTTTATTATCCTTAATTCTGGTCACTAGCCCTAGCTCCATCTCTGCCTTGGCCTTCCTAACAGCCGCCCTGCAGTCCTGAGCAATGGAGGTGTAATCCTCCTTGGTGATAGCCCCTTGCTTCCGCTGTTTGTACGCCTCCTTTTTTGCCCTCAGGCATCCCTGGATGCCTTTGCCAAGTCATGGGGGCTTCTTAGCAGTCCTGCCCCCCTTGGTGCACATTGGGACTGACTCCCTTTGAGCTTGGAGGATTGTCTCCTTGAGGAACAACCACCTGTCTTGGACTCCCATCTCACTGAAGCTCTGAAACCCCAATGCCTTTCCTACTAACCTTCTTAGCTTACAGAAGTCAGCCTTCCTGAAGTTGAGGACCTCTGCCTTGCTGCTTGCTTTCTCCACCCTGTGCTGGATAGTAAATTCCAGCAGGCAATGATCACTGTTGCCAAGGTGGTCAAGTACCCGCAGATGCCTCACCAGGTCATTGCCTGTGGCAAGGACCAAGTCCAGCAGGGCATTTCCCCTGGTGGGACTATGCACCTCCTGGGTTAGGTGGAGATCCTGTATCCTGGCTAGGAACCTATATGAGTGGTCGGACCTGGCTCACTGTTCCTCCCAGCAGATGTCTGGGTAATTTAGGTCGCCCATGACAACCACATCCCTTGACTTTACTGCCTCTGTGAGCTGACCTGAGAATTCCAGGTCCAGCTCGTCCCCTTGGTGAGGCGGTCTGTAGTAGACACCCACTATCAAGTCCCTTTCCCCACGCCCCCCTTGCATTCTTACCCAGAGCGCCTCATTTTGCCCTTCCTCTGACCCCATCCTGATCATTGAGGACGTGAATTGCTCTTTGACGTATAGTGCTACCCCCCCCCCTTTTCCCTGCTCTGTCTCACCTGTACAGCCTGTACAGCTTGGTGTCATCTACAAACTTGCTGAGGGTAGAATCCATCCCATCTTCCCAATCATTAATTAAGATATTGAACAGAACAGGCACCAGGACTGACCCCTGGGGCACTCCACTTGATACTGGCTGTCAGCTAGACATTGAGCCATTGATTACTACTTGTTGAGCCCAACATTCCAGCCAGCTTTTCTATCTACCTTACAGTCCATTCATCCAACCGAGACTTCCTCAGCCTGCTTGGAAAAATGCTGTGTGAAATGGTATCAGAAGCCTTAATAAGGTCAAGGTATATTATATCCACTGCTTACTTACATCCACAGAGCTAGTTATCGTCACAGAAGGCAATCAGGTTGGTTAGGCATGACTCGCCCTTGGTAAATCCATGCATACTGTTCCTAGTCACCTTTTTCTCCAAGTGCTTAAGAAATGGATTCTTTGAGGACCTTCTGCATGATTTTTCTGGGGACTTAGGTTAGGACGACTGGTCTGTTGTTCCCTGGATCCTCCTTCTTCCCTTTCTTAAACATGGCACTCAGGTACTCTATTTGCCTTTTTCCAATTGTCCAGGACCTCCGGCAATTGCCATGAGTTTTCAAAGATAATGGCCAGTGGCTCTGCAATCACATCAGCAAACTCCCTTAGCACCCTCAGGTGCATTGCATCTGGCTCCATGGACTTGTACACATCCATCTTTTCTAAATAGTCCCTAACCTGTTCTTTCACCGCTAAGGGCTACACATTTTCCCCAAACTATGTTATGCAGTGCAGTAGTCTGGGAGCTGACCTTGCCTTGAAGACCAAGGTAAAAAGGGCATTAAGTACTTCAGTCTTTCTTGCTCATCTGGCACTAGGTTGCCTCCCCCATTCAGGCAGGGACCCACACTTTCCTTGGCCTTTCTCTTGTTGCTAACATACTTGTAGAAGCCCTTCTTGTTACCCTTCATGTTCCTTTCCAGCTGCAACTCCAGTTGTGCTTTGGCCTTCTTGACTTGATCCCTGCATGCCCAATCAATACTCTTATAAACTTCCCAAGCTGTTTCCCAACCTCCCACTTCTTCTAAGCTTTCTTTTTGTGTTTAAGCTCACCAAAGAGTTCTCTGCTAAGCCAAGCTGGTCACTTGCCACATTTGATATTCTTCCTGCACATCAGGAAGGTTTGTTCCTGTGCCTTCAGTAAGGTTTCTTTAAAATACAACCACCTATCCTGGATTTCTTTCCTACTTAAACTAGCCTCCCAGGCCATCCTGATCATCAGTTCCCTGAGGGAATTATAGTCTGCTTTTCTGAACTCCAGGGTCCATACTCTGCTGCTCTCCTTTCTTCCTTTTGTCAGGATCCTGAACTCAATCATTTTGTGGTCGCTGATGCCCAACTTACTGTCCACTTCTACATCCTACACCAATTCTTCCCTGTATGCCATTAGTCTTCTTTGCAGCAAGGGCACACTGTTGGCTCATTGTCAGGTTATCATCCACTGCAACCCCTAGGTCCTTTTCCACAGAAGTGCTGCTTATATAGTCAGTCCCCATTCTGTACTGGTGCCTGGGATTGTTCCATCTTAAGTGCAGGACTTTGCACTTGTCCTTATTGAACCTCATGTAATAGCCAATTGAGGTTGTAGCATCAGACATCCCCTTGGATCCAGATCTCATCAAACCACTTATGCAGATGTTATCTTATTGAACACTTTATCTAGTTCTGACTCTGAACATGATCCATCAACCTGTACAATGTCTTCACAGTCCCCCTGGATTCTAACACAGTGGCTACAAAGCCCATAGCCAGCTTTCCATGGTGGCAGTGGGGCCCTTGGCTTTTCCCTGTTGTTGGGGATAGGATAGAATAGCTCCCAGCTCCTGCTCCATGATTGTGAGGCTGGGAGATCCTTATTTGGTTGTCTCTGCCCAGGCTCTGGTAGCAGAACCTACCCTGGCAGCAGGCAGCTTCAAGGGGCAGGGAGCAATCTCCCGTGCCTTGCTGCCTGGCTGACTGGGAGCACATTTGTCAGTTCCAACTGGCCAGTCCCAACCCAGTGCCCCTCACTCCAGACCCATTGCCCCCACCCCCCAGACCCCCAGTGTGTGGAGTAGGGGGTCCCCAAGCAGACCCTTGTAGGCTGGAGCTCTGCCAGCCTGCAAGGGAAAAGCCACGGTTTCCCACATTTTTCTCCTTTAAGGGAGAATCCATTTTTAAAGTTTGATCCATTTTAAAAGTTTGCTTGAGACCTTTTCATAGATTCTTGCGACCCACTTTTATGTCACAACCCATAGGTTGAGAAACACTGCTGTAGACTAAAGGCCCTTAGTGTCAGATCTCTCTTCAAAGGTAATGCAAGCCTTTAAAAAATCATGTTACTTGTTACTGTACTAACTTAACTTCAGTAGAATGTCTTAGTGATGTCCACTTAAACTTTCTTTTTGTGCAGCTATAACTCTCTGAAAAGCTATAAAGAAAATTATAATGATAACTGAACTTGACACTGTTTCCTTAATTTCCTAGGCCATGGGAAGTGTGACTGTGGGAAGTGCAAATGTGATGAAGGCTGGTATGGTGAAGCTTGTCAGTACCCAACTACATGCAATATTACAAGGAAGAAAAGCAATGAAATGTGCAAGAATTCTCAAGATATCATCTGCTCTAATGCAGGTAAATGATTTGTTTTTGGTTGGATTAAGAAGTTCTCCCTGTATTAACTTGTAGATCACCATGATATTTCACATGTTTTAATTAAAACTCTGCAGAATACAGTTTATGGGATTGCAAAGAAAATGTATTACTTAAAGAAATACTAAAATTTTTCTGAAAGTCTATTCCTGAGCATATTGTGTGTGTAATGAAATTCAGACAATGCAGTGAAAAATAAGTCAGCAGGCTGAATCTTTCTTTTGAAATTGACATGGATTCCAGCTGTTCTGAATGCTTTCTTCCTCCAGAAAATTCAGTGAAAAGAATGTAACGATATGCACATGATATGCAGTGCTGGATTAAACTTTTTAAAAAGGATTTATATGAAAAGATTTTATGAATTTTAAATTACCTCTAGAGAGTACTCAAAATGCTTGCTTTAGTGCTCTGGCTTATCTATAGCTATTTGAGACTGATGAAGACTCCAGCTGTGCCAGATGTTTTACTCTTCAAAAGGATATGGTAGCAATATTAACATTGAGAGGGGCTTGGATTTTTGTTGTTATTGTTTTGATAAGATGCAGAGGAGTCATTTGCAAATGTTCCTTTAGGAAATGTATACAGAAGCTTTTACAATCATGATTCAAATTTGCTATCACAAAATGTTTGCCTTATTTTAGTTGGGTACCTCTATCCCAGAACTTTGACATTCTGATTCCCTACAGCATAGTTCTCCCCCTTCATTCAGTTCTGCATTTTATGCTAACCTCAGTGGGAATTACCCAAGTGTAACAACAATGGAGGAAAGTGTATCTGTCTTTTTTTGAAGATCCATTGCATAACTTAGAAAAGTTATTAGACCCCTATACAACAAGGATCTAAGACCAAATTCTGTTACCTTTTCCAAAAAGTGGTAGTAATCTGGCAGTAGGAGGTGTTACTGAATCCACGTTTCTGGTAACACACTCACAGAAGTTTAGGGCTGGAAGGGACCTTGTGAGATCAGCAGGTCCAGCCCCCCTGCTCTGGGCAGGAAAGACAGCTGGGGTCAAATATGCCAGCAAGGTGTGTGTCCAGTCTCCTTTTGAATATCTCCAGGGTAGGTAACTGCACCACCCCCAATGGGAGTCTATTCCAGAGTCTGGTCACGTGGACCATGAAAAGTTATTCCTTCTATTCAGTCTGAAACCGTGTTCTAGGACTCTATAACCATTGCTATCAAATCCCCCCAAAGTCTTCTTTTCTAGGTTGACCAGTCCCATATCTGTCAGGCTTTCCTTGTATGGCTTGCTCTTCAGGGCAATGTACCAACATCGTTGGTACTTTAATTATACTTGGGCCCGTATATGTCCATAGTAGTATAGTTCTTATGGAATATTTGTGTTTCTTATTTTTGGCATCCTCACACACAAATAACAAATGTACAAATTTTAGGCAGGAACAGATCTTTCTGACATTATCTAGGATCTGCAGTGAATCTGTACTTCTTGTTAGCTGGAATTTAAGTCTTTATACATTGTTTTTAAAGTATAAAGATCTGGCTTTCAACTCAAATCACACTTGGTGTTGATCAGCAGAACTTGAATTTTTTAAAGGGCTCAAAGGGTCATCATTATGATCTCTTTCCTTCTGAATTTTCTGCTGTCATTTTTTGGCTGGAAATAACCTAGATCTGTTGATCACTAGGGATCAACTAGGGATAAGCCCAACTAGATGAACAAGCATTTGAAGTAGCTAGGAAAGTAGAAGAGTCTGGAGTATTTCTGAGCCTTGGGACAGGGATATTTTAGTTTTATAGTCTTATTTCAATGCCAAGCTATATTGTGTCAAGTGAAATTGGGTACTGGACTACAACCACTGTTTTGTTCATGGTGGGACAATATATTTGAATTAGTAATATAGGACTGGCAGGGATCTTGTAGATTATTAAGTCCATTCCCCCTGCTGTTGCAGGGAACCATGTTGCAAAATCTTTCTCATTAATTGATCAAGCTCTGTCTAAACATTAGCTATGCTTTTGTCCCACTACTGCTAATTATTTATTAGAATACCAGGTGACTGTAACTGAAGTACATGTACAAACATTCAATGATTTAAGTACTTTTATAGAGAGACATAACATCTTTCATTCAGAGAATTTACCTTTCCTGCTTCTCTCTCAGATGCTAGGGTTAATATCTGAAGTGGAAATACATGTTTCTTTTTTCATAAAGAGTCTTAGAATAATAAGACTCTAGCTGGCCATGTAGATACACCAGAGTTAGTTTGCACACGTGCGACTGTATATACCAGTGAGATTTAACCTCTTGGCTCAGTAGGCCAGGTGAGTGGCAAGGGCTGGTCTGTGGGGTGGATTGACCCTTGCATGCCAGAATCAGGCTCTGTGGTTCCCCGCCCCACACACTGGGATTGAGTCCTGCTGACCTGGTGCCTTCCTCTCCTGTCCCTCCCCCCAACAAGGATTGAGTACTAGGAGGCTGTTCCTGCCCCCTTCTGTCTCCACACTCTAAGATAGGGCCTTGGGGGGCCCAGCAATGACCTGTCCTATGCCTATGCACAGGGATTGGGCCCTGGGGGTGGAGTGGCATCAGCCCCCTGAGTTCCCCCACACTAAGATTGGGCTCTGGGATCTGGTGCTACCCCTGCCTGGCCCTGCACTCTGGGATTGGGTACCTGATCCAGATCCAGCACACAGATCCCAGGGCTCCCCATGAGTCCAGAGTTTTGGCAGTTGGGGAGCAGTGGCCCATGGGGTTGTGGGCCATATTTGGCTCACAGGCTGGGGGTTGATCAACCCTGGTATATAAGTTTCACTAAATACAATATCTCCTTTTCTACTTGTAAGTTGCTAATGGACAAATTGCAAGGCTTTTGAAACTGTTGTTATTCAATTTATTGAGCCAAGTAATTTCAGTAAATAATTCCAGGTCTATAACTTATTTGTAATTAAGTTCTTGTACAGGCTTTGAAATTCAAGGTGTTTAGATTGGAGATGTTTGTTGCATGTTGCATGTGTGTTTCCACTGTCTGTAAATAATTTCAAGTCTGATAGTAAAAAAAATTTCTGCAAGTATCATCTAATTAATATCCACTTAAATCTGCTGCGTTGGTTATTTTTTTCCCACTCTGAAAGTCATACTCTGAAATTTTATTGTAAAGTGAACACACAAGGGGAATGAACACAATTGAAGGAAATGCCTATATAACCTCTGAATGAATATATACATATGTTGTTAAACAAGCAATTACTCTAATTAGCACACAGTAACATTAAAAGGGAAGTGGGTGAGCTGCTCAACCTATGTCAACAGCCCAGCTTTACCCAGCGGTCAATAACAATTAATTAGTAATAAAACAAGTGACACAAAAAAAAGGGGTAGGCAACAACTCTATTGTACAGCAGCAAGAAAGACAATTAATTAACAAATCCGGTACAATAGACACAACAATAACCCAATATTACCCTGCTCCATGAACAACAAACCATGGAGCAGAAGGAACATGAGAACTCCCATCAATAGTGCTAGAGAGCAACTTTCTTTCTTTCATACACCACTGCTGACAGGCACGCAACTCTCTCTCAGCACACACTCAAGGGATATTGGCCTCCCAGACCCTCATCTGAGATACCACACACACAGAGGGGACTGACTGCCCCAGTCTGCACCCACTCTGACACACACAAGGTTCAGACTTACTCAGCCACTCAAGTCTCATTCAAATCCACCACTCAGAAGAGCTATTGACCACCCCTAGTCCTCACTCATCCTGTCCCATACACCTCTCCTCAAGTATGATCTCCTCTCATCTATTTTTCATTCAATATTCTTCACCAATCAGCACCTCACCTCACAAGGTGATTGCAACATTTCTCATGCCATCTCAGCTGTTGCTGGTCATATGCATCCCTATGTAGGTCATCTCTTAACATGAGGTGAAAGGTTCACCTCATAACTTTACTATGCCCAGGGGAAACTGTGGTTTCTAGCTCAACAATGTAATTACATTTATTGTGATAGAATGTGTAGGGACATACAATTTCCCATACTAAATTTAACAATTCCTGCCCAAGAGCTTACAATTTTAATAGAAGAGATAGGCTGACAGTATGGGAAAGGGCTAAAACAAAGGGCTTTAAAGAAACCTTACTGAGACTGCAGAAACAAACCATCCTGATGTGCAGAAAGATTAGCAAGTATGGCAGAAGACCAGCTTGGCTTAGCAGGGAATTCTTGCAGCAGTGTCAACGGCAGGGGGGTGGTGGTGAGCGGTGAACAGGGATCACCTGCAGACGCCAACATTGGTGTCAGTGGTGGGTGGGGGTGTGTGGCAAGCATGGCAACCACCCACAGAACCTGGCAATGGCCACCAATCTCAGGGGGTGCATGTGCCCCACCAAACCCCCTGTATGCATCACCTATGCTAGTGACAGAGGATGCAGAAAAGGCTGAAGTACTCAATGCCTTTTCTACCTCAGTCTTCACAGGCAAGCTTAGTTCCCAAGTTACTGCACCTGGCAGCAGAATTTGGGGGGGAGGTGAGCAGCCAATTGCGGCAAAAGAAAAGGTTAGGGACTATTTAGTAAAACTGGACATGTACAAGTCCATGAGGCTGCTTGGGATATACCTGAGGATGCTGAGGGAGTTGGCTGGTGCGGTTGCAGAGCCAGTGGTGATCATGTTTGAAAACTCATGGCAATTGGGAGATGTCCTGGATCATTGGAAAAGGGCAAATATAGTAGCCATATTTAAGAAAGGGAAAAAGGAGGATGCAGGCAACTACAGACCAATCAGCCTTACCTCAGTCGCTGGAAAAATCATGCAGCAAGTCCTCAAGGAATCCATTTCTAAGTACTTGGAGGAGATGCAGGTGATTAGGAACAGTCAGTATGGATTCACCAAAGGCAAGTCATGCTTCACCAGCCTGATTGCCTTCTGTGATGAGATGACTAGCTCTGCAGATGCAGGGAGACCAGTAGATGTGGTATATCTTGACTTTATCAAGGCTTTTGATACAGTTTCTCACAACATTCTCTCAGGCAAGGTAAAGAAGTATGGGTTAGATGAATGGACTGTAAATTGGATAGAAACTGGCTGGATCATTGGGCTCAGAAGGTAGTAGTCAATGGCTTGATGTCTAGGTGGCAGCCAGTATCAAGTGGAGGGACCCAGGGGCCAGTTCTGGGGCCAGTTTTGTTCAGTATCTTCATCAATGACCTGGAAGATGGCATAGAGCATAGTTTCTCAACCTGTGGTACGCATAGCCCTTGGGGTACGCAAGACACAGGCAGGGGGTATGCAGGTACCCCAACACTCTCTCTCTCCCTCACCCTCTTTTCCTCTCTCTCTCTCGCCCCTTCCTCCTCTCAAAACTATGGCAAAAAATTTGGTGTGCCACGCACTGTGTGGCACTTTAAATTCCCTAGTAATAATTTGGCGTGCCACGTTTTGTGCAGCACTGGGTTTAGCCCTCCTAGCTTTGGCCAACATCACCTCTAGCCCTGGTACATACTTGAGTTGTGCACCCCTGGTATAAAAGGTGGCAATCCTACCCACACCAGATCATATCACGGCCTTATACATACAGCCCTTCTTCCAATATATGGCACACATTAGTCCGTAAATGTAAAATCCCCTGGAAAATTGAGTGTTGGGATACTTATTAAAATTTTCAGAAGTTAGGAGTTACTTGCTACTTAAAAGGTTGAAAAACACTGGCATAGAGTGCACCCTCAGCAAGTCTGCAGATGACACCAAGCTGGTGGGGAGTAGCTGAAGGGTAACGTTAGTATTCAGAGAGACCTAGACAAAGTGGAATATTGGATCAAAAGAAATCTCATGAGGTTCAATAAGGACAAGTGCAAAGTCTTTCACTTAGCACAGAATAATCCCATGTACTGGTACAGCCTGGAACTGACTGGCTGGGAAGCAGATCTGCAGAAAAGGACCTGGGGGTTAAAGTGGACAGTAAGCTGAATATGAGCCAACAGTGTTCCCTTGTTGCCAAGAAGGCTAATGACATACTGGGTTGCACTGGCATGAGTGTTGCAAGCAGATCAAGGAAAGTGATTATTCCCCTCTATTCGGCACTGGTGAGGCCACATCTGGAGTACTGTGTCCAGTTTTGGGCCCTCCACTACAGAAAAGATGTGGACAAATTGGAAAGAGTCCAGTGGAGGGCAGGGAGTTGGGGCACATGACTTCCGAGGAGAGACTGAGGAAACCGGGTTTATTTAGTTTGGGGAAGACAAGACTGAGAGGGGATTTAATAGCAGCCCTCAGTTACCTGAAGGGTGATTCCAAAGAGGACGGAGCTAGACTGTTTTCAGTAGTGGCAGTTAACAGAACAAGGAGCAGTAGTCTCACATTGCAACAAGGGAACTTGAGGTTAGATATTTGGAAAAGCTTTCCACATGCGGGGGGCTGGACCCGATGATCTTGTAAGGTCCCTTCCAGCCCCCAACATTTATGAAACTAGAAGTGTAGTAAAACACGGGAAGAGGTTACCCAGAGAGGTTGTGGACTTTCCATCCTTGGAGGTTTTTAAGAGCCAGCTAGACAAAGCCTTGGCTGGAATGATCTGGTTGGGGATGGTCCTGCTTTGAGCAGGGGGTTGGACTAGATGACCTCCTGGGTTTCCTCCAAACCCTTATTTTCTATGATTCTATATGAATAGAATCATTAGTGTGATGACTGGGAAATGTGCTCATTCCATGCCATTCTTGGTTTTGTTGTTTAAACCCTTTCAGATAACGTTTTGTATTATTTGTCAAGCTATATTGATATATTATAGAAATAATATGCACTGAACTAAATTTCTCCACTTACAGTGGAACCATACCTCCTTCTGAGACAACTTCCACAAACAGGGAAAATATAAGGCTCTAGAAACCTACATGTTGAAGGGAGCAGAGTTCAGGTATATCAAGTTGTTAAATTGGATGTAGCTATCTGTTCTTCAAACATATTTGCTAATCCAGAGTTTGGAGATAGTATATATCTGAAGGGAAAAATAAGCCCTTATACAGGTGGCAAACAATTCCTGAAAGCTGTATTAAAACACAACTTCCCTCTTAGCCAAATAAATGTTGTAGAAAAGTAATTAGTCAAATTTAGCCTTTTCCTTTCACTAGGATTAAGAAATATCTCCCGGAGTTATATTTGTATTTGTGGATTCCATAATATCTCTGGAGCATCTGGGTGTAGACAGGGATATTGAATAGTCTATCATCTATAGAGGATGGAGATAGACCAAGGATATTGGTTTTGAATTTTACATGGATCTAGGGATTTATTTCTTTCTTTTCTTTTTTTTATTACTTTTTTATGGTTCTTCATTTGGTTTTTTGGATGAATCACTTAAATGCTATTATTAAAACTTTAGATGGACTGGCTTTTCTTTTCTGACTGAATTAGCTTGAGGTTTCAACTTATCAGAACAAAAGTGATGGAGCATTAAAAGGCAAAAAGAACACTATTTTGTTGGTTTGTTTTCTATAAGCCGTGATTATATATGATGTTGTTTTAAATATTTACAGGCACATGTCAGTGTGGCAGATGTAAGTGTGAAAACTCTGAAGGGAATGGTCTAATCTATGGTAAATTTTGTGAATGTGATGACAGAGAATGCATAGATGATGAGACCGAAGAGATCTGTACAGGTAAGTACACTAGTAAAGAAGTGTAGTATGTACACTTGTAAATTGTTCTGAAATATGTAGTACACCAGTACAATGGCTTTTGTATAAATTTTATTATTTGGAATTATAAAACTGACTTCTTTGTATTCATGCATTGGAAAACAAAGAGATAAACCAGCAAATAGCTGCTTGTGGTAAGTGGAAATGTCATATCAGCATAAAGGTTGAACATAAGCCTGGAGAAGAGCAGTCCTGAGGCATTTTCCTTTCCCAGAAGAGATGCAGTAACCAAGAAGCAGAGCACTCCAGGCAGTGAAGCATATCTAAATGTGCATATGTGTGCATACTGGGAGAAAGAGAAAGAGACCAAGGGCCTGGAGAGATGACATGTTCATACTGTAGTAATCAGCATTGTATAAAGGAGAAGATAGATGACAAACTCCTAAACAATGGTAATGTTTCCCCACTTTGTTGAAAAATTGCCACTGAAAGAATTAGAGCTAAAACACTACTAGTGCAAGTTACGCTGGTCTTGATTTAGTCTGTCTGGAGCAGCTATTTGGTACAAATTAAATGGCTATTATCTGCCACCCAACTCCTAAGATGTGCATTACCTGATGTAGCTATCTTGGGGTAACTCTATGGTGCAGTGTCCAGAAAGCCTGAGGCACAAGTGATCCAAGTTACTCAGTTTACTCAAATGCCCCAGGATAGATGGGTAGCTAACAGAAGCATGTTCGCCCTTTGGTGGTGAAGGGGGTGGGTGGGGTTCCTGAACAGCCACCCAGGGAGTCCCAGGCCTCCATGAGTGGGTGCAACCCCACAGAGCAGGACCTGGCTGCCAGGTACAGTCAAGCATCTCTTTCCTGTGTGGGCTGTGCCGTCTCAGCTCTGTGAGTGCCCAGAGGTGGGGCTGGCTGGGCAATTGGCTGGAGCAGCTGAGCGCAGGCTGGCTGCTAGTGCACTTCCCTGCCAGGGAGAAGTTAGCAGGGAACCACAAATGTGCCAGGATGCCAGAAGACAGTGATCTAACTTGAGTCAGTAGGGGATCTGGTATAGAAGTTTGATAGACCGGTCTAACCTAAATGTAAGCCTGATACTACACTGATCCAGGTCTATCTTAGATTAGGGCACACACTTTTTTAACCAGTTTGTGTGTGCTGAATTTATGTTTTGTTACTGGTATAGACCAGTTTCAGATCACCTATTCTGGTATAAGTGTAACGTCTGTACCTAATCTATATGTCCAGTCCTGATCCTAGTGTAATTTACATCACTACACAAAACTGCTGTTAATTACATGAAAGGTGATGATCTCTTTAGGGCTAGAGGGGGAAATTCAAAAAAGAAAAGTAGGGAACAAAAATCTTTGGGAGAAGTGAGATGGAAAGGAGTAACCAAAAATAGGTTTGGCAAGTCAGAATGCAATGCACAGAAAGAGGAAAGTGTGTTAGTTAATGGAGACATTGTACACTAATGCAAGAAAGACTTGGAGATCCTAGTACAATCAGGGAAGTAGGATGCAACTGGGATAAGTGAGAGTTGGTGGGACAGTTCACATGACTGGAGTACCATCATGGACAGTTATAAGTTGTTCAGGAAGAATAGGCAGGGGGAAAAAGTAGCTGGTGTTTCTGAGATGAAGTACAAAGCAGAAGGTAGGCATTTTGAAAGTCTCTGGGTCAAGGTCAGAGGCTTGCCATTCTCCCCTCCTTAAGGCTTCTTTTCAACTAACCAAAGTTTCCAGATTGCAGAATCTGGTCTTCATGGTGGTCTTCAATCATTGTGTCATATTTTTGCTTGTACAGCAACATGTGTTGGGAGGGTAACACAAAGTTTCTAGATTGTGTTGGGGATAACTTTTTGAATCAGGTGGTGGAGAGGCCAAATAGTATTGCTTTTCTTGATTTGCTGCTCTCAAACACGAAGGAATGTGAAGGTGGAAGGCAGTTTTGTGTGACAGGGACCATGACATGATAGAGTTCAGGATTCTAAAGGGAGGAAGGAAGAAGAGCAGCAGAATAAATACATTGGATTTCAGAAGAACAGACTTCAACAAACTCAAGGAAACATCCATGGGGATGCAAGACTGAGGGGAGGAGGAGTCCAGGGGAGCTGGCTGTACTTTCAGGAGGCCTTATTTATGGTGCAGGAGCAAGCTATCCTAATTTGAAGAAATAGGATGAGCAACAGGAGGTTGACCTAGCTAAACAGCAAATTCTTCAGTGAGCTGAAACTCAAAAAGGAATACTACAAATGAAAACCTGGCAATATTACTATGGAAGAGGACAAGAGTATCACATGGGCATGCAGGGAGAGAATCAGGAGGGCCAAGGCATGATTTGAGATGCGACAACCAGGAGTCAAAAAAGACAATAAAAAAGGGAATCTACAAGTATGTCAGAAGTAAGAGGAAGACTAAAGAATATGTAGGCCCTTTATTGAATACAGAGGGCTATCAAGTAAGTGATGATGGGCAGTAGTGGTGCACGGTACAGGAGCAGCAGGAAGAGGTTCACTGTTTTGAGAAGAGAAGGTGTCACCTTTTTTGCCACTGATCTGTGTATTGAATGACCATTTAAACACTGATTTCTGGCATTAGAAAAGGAGTTGACATCTTCCTCTGGCAGCAGTGAACCTCCAGCCACTGCTCCTGTACCATGCATCACTGCCTCTGCTCTTCCCTGCTGCCAGAGCTGGAGTAGAAGTGTAGTAGAAGTATTGCCATCAGAGGATGGATTTAGATTTTTTTCAGTGGTGACAGATTACAGAACAAGGAGCAATGGGCTCAAGTTGCAGCAAGGGAGATTTAGGTTGGATATTAGGAAAAAGTCTCTAATTAGGAGGGTGATAAATCCCTGGAACAGGTTACCTAGAGAGGTGGTAAAATCTTCAGCCTTGGAGATTTTTAAACGCTTGGCTTGACAAAGCCCTTGCTGGAATGATCTACTTGGACATGGTTCTGTTTTGAGCAGGGGGTTGGACTAGATGACCTCCTGAGGTCCCTTCCAACCCTAATTTTCTGTGATGTAGGGAACTGATTAGTCACCTCTATTCAACAGTAGTGGGACTACTGGCGAGTACTGTGTCCAGTTTTGGGCCCCCACACTGTAGAAAGGGTGTGGACAAATTGGAGAGTCTAGCGGAGGGTAACAAAAATGGTTAGGGGGCTGGGCAACATTGCTTCTGAGAAGAGTGTTTATTTAGTCTGGAGAAGAGTAGATGGGGAATGGGGCAGGGATTTAATACGTCTTCAACAACCTGAAGGGTGGTTCCAAAGAGGATGGATTTAGACTGTTCTCAGTGGTGTTAGATAACAGAAAAAAGGAGCAATTGTCTCAAGCTGCAGCAAGGGAAGATGAGGTTAGATACTAGGAAAACCTCTCTCATGAGGAGGGTAGTAAAGCACTAGAACAGGCTACCCAGAATGGTTGTGGAATCTCCATCCGTAGAGATTTTTAAGACCCAGGTAGACAAAGCCTTGGCTGGCGTGATCTAGTTGGGGATGGTCCTACTTTGAGGAGGGGATTGGATTAGGTGACCTCCCGAGGTCCCTTCCAAACCTAGTTTTCTTCAATGCTATGAAATTGGAAAGAGTCTATCAGAGAACAACAAAAATGATGAGGTGCCTGGAAAACATGACTTGAAGCTAGGGTGAGAGAGCTAGGGTTATTTATTCTAGGTAAGAGAAAACTAAAGGGGGATTTGACAATGCACTTCATATACCAGAAGGCCTATAATAAAGAGGATGGAGATAGACTATTCTCTGAAGCCATGGAGGACAGAAGGGGCAATGGTATTAAATTGCAACAAGGGAAATTTAGATTGGATAGTGGGAAAACTCTCTCATGATAAGGATGGTTAAGCATTGGAACAGGATATGCTGAGAGGTTATGGAATCTTCTTCCTTGGAGGTTTTTATTAATAGATTTTTAGATTGTTAGGGGCTGGAAGGGACGTTGCAGATCATCGGGCCCAACCCTCCCACTCTAGGCAGGAAGACAACTGGGGTTAGGTGACCCCAGCAAGGTGACTTTCAAGAGGAGACTGGACAGCCTCTAGGGTAGGTGACTGCACCACCTCTGGAGGGAATTTATTCCACAGTCTGGGCACTCTGACTGTGAAGGAGTTTTTCCTGGTATTAAGCCTGAAGCAGCCTTCCAGGAGTTTGTATCCATTGGTCCTGGTATTCCCCAGGGGTGCCCTAGTGAACAGTTGTTCACCAAGCTCCTGATGCACTCCTCTGATATAGCGGTAAGCTGCTATCAAGTCCTCTCTCAACTTCCTCTTCTTTAGGCTAAAGAGGCCCAAGTTCCTCAGCCTTTCCTCATATGGCTTGTCTTGCAAGTACCTGATCATATGGGTTGCTGTTTTCTGGACCCTTTCAAGTTTTTCCACGTCCTTATTGAAGTCTGGGTTAAGAACAGGTTAGACAGACACTCAGTTTGAATGGTTTAGTCAGGGGTGATCCTTGAGCATAGGACTTGGACTAAATGATATCCTGAGGTTCCTCCCACCCCTACTGTTCTATGGTGTAGTCAGAAGGAAAGAGGGAACAAAAATGCTTGGAAAGGACTCTTCCAAGGTATTCCCGAGACAGGAAAGAGAAGAGGAAATAAACAGAACAAACTACACAACAAAGAATATTGAGCAAAGCAAACTTAAATTATATTTTTATAAAATAGGAATCTGTATAGTCACTTAAAAATAATCAATTGACCCAGCAGCTATGTTCCTTTAAATAGTGATCAGTGTTTTTTTGACTGTTGACACATTTCCTTCATCTAAGAAGTGTTGCAAATGTTTTTCGAACTCTTGGGAGAGGAGGGGATAGTTGCATGTGTGTGTGCACCATAGAGAACCAAATTTACTCCTCCCCACTCCACTTAATACTTATATATCCTGTCAGTATGTTTGTGTGCATTACTGTATTGATATACTGAGGGAACAAAACAATTTCTGTTGGTTTAATTTCCCTCACGTGTCCACAGGCAAGAAAGGAACTTGTGGCCTCTATTAAATGATGATAGCAATAGCAAAAAGTTATAACCCAGGATTATATACTAATTTATCAAATGACTGAAATAATGATCTAGAAATACTTCAATCATATGTCAGTGATTTAATTTGGATTTTATTTTTTTACACGAAATGGCCCATACTATATCAAATTTGATAGGATTTAGTATTCTACTAACCTTCCGTAAACTCTCCTATGGTGATTTTTTCCATTTACCTTATCTTTGTTACTTCTGATGGTAAAGCTTTTTTCTAGCTTTCAATTCCTGCTTGTTTCATTTGTTGATGCCTTATTCCAGTAGGGGACCAAATTAACCCCTCTAGTAATCAAAGTTTATGATTCTGAAACAATTGATATCAAGATCTACTGGTGTAAAAGTGGATAAATATGCTATTGACCCATATCTCCAGTGTTTGCTTTTTCCTAATTCGTCACTTGTGGAAATTTTTTTATATAAATGCTTTCTAAACTGTGGTTCACTGATCATAGAAAATTAGGGTTGGAAAGGACCTCAGGAGGTCATGTAATTCAACCCCTTGCTCAAAGAAGGATCATCCCAGTCAAAGTTTTGTCTAGCCGAGTCTTGAAGACCTCCAAGAATGGAGATTTCACCACCTCTCTGGGTAACCTGTTTCAGTGTTTTACTACACTTCTAGTGAGAAAATTCTTCTTAGTATCTAACCTAAACTTCCGTTGCCACAGCTTGAGACCATTGCTCCTTGTTCTGTCATCTGCCACCACTAAGAACAGTCTAGCTCCATCCTCTTTTGAACCCCCCTTCAGGTAGTTGAAGGCTGCTATTAAGTCCCCTCTCAGTCTCCTCTTCTCTAGACTAAATAAGCCCAGTCCCCACAGTGATGACACTGTACACCCTCCTTCAAATAAAAGTTTGATGATAAGATGAAGATGACTTTCTAAAAACTTTGAAGGTCAATACTTCTCTGCTGGTCCAAAAAGTTTGGAAACTTCTACATTTTATTAGATGTCAGACACCTAAAACATATTAATTTTAGGTGGTTCCTGGAACTCTTAACCCCTGGATTGTCCATACATTAACCCCTGAAACTAGTTTTAAGCACACTTTAGGCAGCTTAAAGTTAAGCCACTCCAGGGCAGGTTTATCTCTGATCTGTGTTATCCAGCTTGTGTTCCATCAATGGGTGGCCACTCCTCACAGATGAGCAGCCCAAGCTGCAGTCTTCCAGCATCCCAAGAATGGCACCAACCCACCTTCCCTCCTACCCCCAGGGGTGACCTTCCCACTCCCAGGGGTGCAACCCCATGGAAGCAGCCTTCAGAGCACATGTTAGCCAGCCAGATAAAGAGGGCACCGATGAGTCCAGGACTGGGGTTTAGAGTGGGGTCATGGTGGGAAAACAAGGTAGGGGGCTGGATCAGATCTCCATGAACTGGGCTTCTTTCCTAGGGCAGGGGCAGTAACTTCCATAAAAGCACATTCCCTCCCAGCTGCAACTGGGAAGTACAACCAGCACCCTCCCACACCCTAATCCCAAATCCCAATTTATTACAACATAAGACCCTCTTTCATTTACTTCTCCTTTTTTAATTCTTTTTTTTTCCTTTTTATTTTATTCTTCAGTGGCTGACTTCTTTCATTTCACCACCCTTCCCTCACCCGCATTTCCTTTTCACCTCCCCTTTCATTACCCACCCTGATTCCATTAACTCTGCTTCATGTTACTCCCCCCAGCCAATCTCTCACACACCTGCTAGAGCAGGGCTAGGACCCTGTCTTGGCTCACCAGCCCTGTAGTAGCAACTCACAGCTGTAGCTTCTAGTCAGACTCCTGCTCACAAGTCCTCCAGTGGCAAGTCCCCAGCTGTGCAGGTCAGGGACATTCAGAAAAGGTTTTTAGTCTTAAGGTGTGACTGCTCCAAACTCAAACTAGCACTTCCTTCTCTGCCTCCAGAGTGAGTTCCCTGGTGTGGTGGTGCTGCTGCTTCCAGCCTCAGAGCTCCTGCATCTTTTCACAGACCCTGAGAGGATACCCTGTCCCAGTGTTGCAGCCACTAGCCTGGTAGCTCTCTCCTTCTTAGCTCTCAGGTCTCTCTCCCTAGTTCCTCTCCCTGGGAGCCTTTTAACTTCCATTTATGCCAGCAAATTATTTTTACCAGCTCACTCCATCCTCCTGGCCAGACCTGCAATCAGGTCTCACTGTCCACAGCTGAGCTGTAGCCCCTCAAAGCCTGCAGACTGCTACAGCTTCACTTGTGCAACCTGCTATCAGCCTCTACAAGCCACCAGTCTGCTACACCCTCAGACTTCTGTAGACCATCTAACCTTTTCTCCTCTGCTGCCAGCTGCATTTGGAGTGATGTATTGCTTCCTTCTTTCCATGCTTCTCTTCCCTCAATAATGGGTCCAGACTGGCTCAAAGGCTGTTCATGTATTGTTTCATTGTCAAGGCCAGTATCACTGCTAAGAAACAAGATCCATACCGAAACCACTGCAGAGAGCTCACTCCTTCTCTTTGTGTGCAGAAGCCTAGCAATTAGGCAGCATAGAGATGGCTTAAGGGGTCGTGAGCATGTGACCCAATGCCACTCCCAGGCCTAAGAGCAATACTGGAATGTGGGCTCAGGAACTGCCTAAGCCAGTGGTGTGCAATTTACCCAGACTCATGGTGTGAAGTCAGTGCAGAGTTCAGATATGGGGCATGGAGCTACATCATCTGGGTCATGAGGCTGGAATTTGGTGGTACCAGTGTTAATTGCTGTGGTACCTTCTGTGACTGCCACTGCTCCTCCACTGCCAAATTTCTGGTCCCATAGGCCACCCTGTGGTCCAGATGATGTGACTCTGCTCTTTTGATTTGACATGCAAGGCTCTCCACATGTCTGGGAATTTAAAGACAAGACAAGCAGTGGCAGAAATGATTGCCAAAGATCTGGGAGCCATGGCAATTAATGTTTACACCATTCACCATACAACCACATTTCCAGACTAATGGAAACATAGGCAGGATTCAGCCTATGGGCTGTATCTTGGTTACCTGTGGTCTAAACCATCTATTTAGCCTAATTGCTGGGTTTAAATTTGCTTGGAAAGAAGAAAGTGGATTGAGTGTATTCCTTGGTAATGGCCCCAGGCTCAGCAGGGAGAGAGTATAGGCATAGCCAGTAGTGAAAGGCTACTTCTAGTAGGTTGCCAAAGGTAGGCGTAAAGGACTACATGGCTGGTCCAAGCTGCACCTGTTCAGTGACAGATGCATATATTTTTTCTTTCCCTCCCTGTGAAGGATTGTATTTACAGGCAGGTCTCCTGTGGGGAGGGGACTTACATTACTTTAATTAGCTTTAAATGAAATAGGATTCATGACAGCTGAGACTTTTTGTTTGCACATGTACAGTTTGGCAATCAAGAGCAATGAGTTGGGATTAAATGCTGGAAAAGCATATAAGAACATAATAAGGTATTGATAGTACATGTTTTAAACTTTGCTTGGCAGGATCTTTTCATTTATCATGTATGGCTTAGATTTCCAATGCTGTCTCTCAAGTCATTCTTCTGTTGCCAACTTTATGATCCAGTTGGATGGGTTTTTTCTTGGTTGATTCATTCGTTTTCTCTTTTTGAGTCTATTGACATCTTTATCTGAGTTTACACACACACATTTTATATTCAGTTTCTGTGAATATATTGTCTCTTTTTTTAATAGGGACAGTGTTTTTAATTAATTAGTCCTTGATTCCTGTATTTGGTGAGACCATTGTCCCTATCTCACAAAGTAGGGGTGGAAGAGCCTCAGAAGGTCAGGTAGTCCAGCCCCCTGCTCAAGGCAGGATCATCTGTGACTAAACTATCCCAGCTAAGAATCTGTCTAACTTGCTCTTGAAAGCCTCCAAGGATGGAGATTTCACAATTTCTCTAGGAAGCCTATTCCAATGTTTGACCACCCTCACAATCAGAAAGTTCTTTTTAACCTCCAATCTAAATTTTCATTGCTTCAGCTTTAGGTCATTGCTTCTAGTCCTGTACCCCAAGGTCATGGAGAAAAGACTATCATGGATCACTGTCTGTAACCTGCAACCCCAGCATCCATTTCAAGATACTAGATTATATAATTTAATTCAGACCTTTTTGGGGTATGCATAAATGTATTTGAGGAAAGAGGAGGTCAGTGGTAGTCCTGGAAGTTGAAATCACATAGTGGACATGCTTAGGAGCCCTACTTAGGGTATTTAAAGTTGCTTGCAACTTTCACATTTGAAATGTACTAAATTTACCCAAGAATATTAAAAAAAATAAGTTTAATGCATGTGAAAGGAATACATTTAAATATGATGTATTGATTGATTAGTACATTACAGATTTATAATTAAATTAAGCTTCTTCCTTAAAGTAGGATTATGACAATATATTAACTACAAAATAATTACCTTTGTATTCATTTAATTTTATCCAGAAATACTTTATTTTTAGAACTGCTCTGATTGTGAGCATAACTCTGAAAGCTTTGTAAGAAAAATAGTCCAAATGATTAGATTGTTAATGGTCTTTTAAAATTTGTCTTTTTCTTACCATATCAAATTTGTTTTGGGTTAAGGCCATGGAAAGTGTTACTGTGGAAACTGTTACTGTGAGGCTGGTTGGCATGGAGATAAATGTGAATTCCAGTGTGACATCACCCCCTGGGAGATCAAGAGAAGATGCACATCTCCAGATGGCAAAATTTGCAGCAATAGAGGTGTGTCACTGATATATTTTCATGTATAACTTCTGCACATATTTCACATTGCAGATATTCTGAACTATAGGACAAAGGTAATCTTTTTCAATAACAGTTTTTGGTTTTTCTCTTTTTATTCAGTTCTGACCATGATTTTTCAAAGTTTGTATATGAATAGAATGTACACAAATGCATGTGTATAACTAAAGGTTTATGTACATGTGGATTTGAAAATTTGTGTGTGTGAACTCAATCAAAGAGTAGAAAACCCTTCTCATCACTTAGTTGCATAGTGAGGCTGCAGAGGATGGGATATTGGCAGATCAGCCATAGTAGGGAACCTCTCTAGAGTAGATAAATATTAGGAAATCTTCACCATAGCTTTTTGTAGATTGATGTAGAGGTGTCCAACAGGGCTGGTTTGGGATTGACACACAAGGTGGATTCTGAATGTTCTGAACTGAATAATGGACAAGAATGAGCAGCAGTCATTATTTAAATACATACTTTACAATAGCAACTAGTTATATCCTGTTCATAGGGTTGTCAGGTTAGATTTTTTTTTTACTAGACATAGTTCTCTGCAAAGCCCAATGGCTTGAATTTCCTCCATAACTTCAATTTAATTTTGTCAATTTGGGAAGAATTAATAACAAAAACAAGATTTGTCTTCACCAGCTGCCATACTTGGCTTCACTGAACAAATAGTTAAAATAGAAAATATTATTTCTTGGCTGTCATCCAGAACTATTGCAGTAGAGCAAAAGTACAAGTCTCATAGATACTTCTCTTAAATACATATCTTCTGACAAAACTTGCTATAGTCTGAGCATCTAATTATCCTGAGAGCATTTAGAAAACTGTCTCATCTTAATTATGGGGAAATTGAAAGGTTGGCTCAAATACAAAAATAACTTAGGCTTATTTAATTTTTGGACTTTAACAGTAAAACAGCTTCTGTGATACTGGAAACAATAAATATAGAAATGCTGTGTGTCAAGTTAGCTGTTTATTCTTGCATGATAATAGTTGACTCTTACCAAAGGGAATTTTAACAAGTTTTACTTGAAGAGCATATTATTTGGACTAGAACAGAACAAATGACATTAAATGAATAGAATTTGTGCTATGAATGGGTACACATTTCTGTAAGATGTACAAAAATATGTGGTATGTATATGACAAAATTCTTTCCAAATACTAATTATGGAAGGATTTTTTTCACATATTCATGATTTCTGTCCTGAAATCCTTCTGTTGCTTGACTTTATAAAGTTATTTTTCAGCTCAGCATTTCCACTTAGTTTATTCATAGTTACTTGATCAGCTTTTTAGGGGGTTGTGTATAGAGTAGCTAATTACAAATTCACTCTCACAGTTACTCTTTAGAAATGACCTTTTCTTTACTTAAGTTTTCCATTATAGTAATTTAACTGTCTTCATGGAATTAACTGTAAAAGTGTGTATAATATGTTTTTATCCATCTCACATTTCTTCAAATGCTGTTCTAGAGGGTACAGGTGGCTCCAGGCAAGTGTATCTTTTGCTTTGTGGGCAGTTACAGACCACTGAAGCTGATGCATATGCTAACTATTCCTCATTCAGAATCACTGAAAGAAGAAATTAAAGCTTTTTCACTGAGTAAGAGAAAATGGAAACTACTGTCCAGTGACTTGTCCAGACCTCAGGCAAAGCCTGACAGAGACTAACTATAACATGTAGCCCAACAAGAGGCTTCCCTGGGGAATGACTGCATTTACAGGAACTGGGGCATTGTTTTGTTTGTATGTATCTGTACAGCAGAAACAGAAAGCAACAGACAGTGAGAAAGGCAGTGTAAGTATGACTTAGAGGAACCAAATGAGAGAATTTTGTAGGGCACAGGAATGGTTGGAAAGCAGCCTTAGATTTATGAACAAGGAAAGTGCCATTGGTTTGTTCCTACCATAGGTGCCAACTTTTATTTTTGCCAGGGCGGGGCAGGGAGCTAAGATGATGGACACGTGGAAAGTATTACACATTTCAGATGAGGGGGACCAGGGCCCTTGGGCCCCCATGTACTCAGCACCTCTGGTTCCTACTATGTCCAGGGAAACAGGAATTGATTTATTTTCTTTCCAAATAACACAACTGTACCAAAAAATGCCTAACTTGTAGAATCCAATTCCTCCTCCTAATGGAAGTAACTCTGCAAGGTCTTGAATATCAACTAATTGCTGAAGTCACTCAGCAACAATATCATTTTCAGGTAGGTTACTGATTTTTACCCAGAGATCTCACAGCCCTGGTACTGGAAAAGAATTTGGGGATTTCTCCTGGTTTTTATTCAATTATTCTGTCATCTTGTATGTCCTGCATGTCTCGGTTGTTGAGTACAAAAGGGGCTACACAGCAAGAAAGAGATACCACTTGCTTCTTATGCATCTAATTCACTGATGAAAGAAATCACCTTAACCACATTATAAAGGTTGGAAATTATGGGAGACCCTTAACTAATACACACTTGAAACTGGCATCTCAAACCTTTTGTAAAGGCAAAATAACAACAAGCTTAAACTCCTAAACTGATTCTTATTAGTGTGTGTCCCTAGGCTCATTTCTGTTCTATTCTGTGTCTTAGGCACGTGTGTGTGTGGTGAATGCACATGCCATGATGTAGACCCAACTGGTGACTGGGGAGATATTCATGGAGATACCTGTGAGTGTGATGAAAGGAACTGCAAAGCTGTCTATGACAGATATTCTGATGACTTCTGTTCAGGTGAGGCATATATTGAGATGGAAATCGTATGGTTGTATTTAATTATGTGACAGAAAATGTCCAAATAGCTTATTCTGGCCCCAAATTGAATTTTTAATTGCTCAGTTAAAATGTTTTGCTTGGGGTCAGACTCGATGGTTTCTATTGGAAATTAGTAGATTTTTTTCATATATATATATATATATATATATATAATTGTTTGTTTTATAAATATTTCATGAAACACAGCCATTTGCTAATAACATTAAATCCCATGTATCACAAAATGAAAAAAATAATAAAATGATTGAGGTTCCTAACTGTTAGGCATACTTTAGGACATAAATTTGTTCTTGTTGGTTCATTACTAGATGATGCAGAGAAGGGGAAGGGGAAATTAAATTTGAAACTAAAAAACCCAAACCTTGATATATTAATAGAAGATGATTGGTTAAAAATGAAAAGGAACTTGGTTTGTTTCATTAATTTAGTGAATAGGTATTCCTGTTAAATGTCCCTTGTGTCACTGCATGTTGCACCCAAGGGACACGTCTAGACAAGCCTGCACATGCCTTTTGCTGCGTGTCAAAGCAGTTTGAGATGCGACAAGAGGCATGTTGGGAACAAAAAAACGTTCCCCACACCACATATTTGCAGCATGGACTCAAAATTTGATACCTGGATATCCAGGTATCAAAATACTCCCCCGGAAAAAGTAGGGCAGGGCACGGTCCTGGACCATGCCCTGAGGCAACAGGAGGCTCAGGTCCTCCAAAGAGATGCTCTGGTAGCCAGCCAGAGTACCAGACTCCATGCCTGCCCCTTGCCCAGATACTGCAGCATGCTGCCTGCCCATTCAAGGCAAACAGCGATGTAAGCTGCTGCAACCTGGACCTGGGCTCCGTTCTAGGTAAGTAGGGGGTGGGGGGCTGTGAAGATGTGGGGGGCCATGTCGGGGGAAACTCAGGAGGGGTGGGTCCCCTGCCTGCCTCCCACAGGGCCCACAGTCCCCCTGCATGGCCCATATGCCCCCCGCACACAGTCCACAGCTCACCTGCAGCAGCAGCCATCAGGGCACTTGGGGCAGATCCAGGAGGAGCTGGGCAAGGTTATTTTGCCCCAAGTGGCACAACTTGCCCCACACCATAGTGCATGTCCGGACACGTGCGCTGAGGCAAAAATCCCTGGCTCAAATTTGTGCCGCTCCTATTTGAGCTGCTGTAGGTGCACCTGCCTGCATGTGTGGATGTGACCAAGATGTTCAAGAAGCCACCCAAGAAAGCAGGCAAAATGAGGAGCTCTTTTGCCATTTTATTCAGATGACTAAAATAAAATGAAAACTGTGAGTGAATTTCTCAGGTGCACATCCTAAATTTCAGGCATAAGGGTGTTTCAGAGCTTTATTTTGAGGCTTGTTGAGAAAAAAAACACTAATGTTTATAACAGCCCTACCACACATTAAACAGTTAAAAACATTTTCAGCAGCTACTGTCAACCTCATGTTTTTTGCTTGATAGAAGATGGATACTCATGCCTTCCCATGAGATTTGGTGTGCAACTCTAGGCAAGACTTTGCCCCCAGCTATCATTAAGTAGCTTGAAATTATTATTGAACATGAGGAGGACTTTGATCAATATGCAGCATGGATTTGTGTACCAGGGGACTTTGCAAGAGCAATTGAAGACAGTTTCAAAGGGACCTGATGTATTACAGGCTGTTGACACAAATATTACAATGTCCCATGAATATCTGACCTGACCTAATTAACACCAATAAAATAAGAATCCCACAAGAACAAAATCATTTTTAAAATATTGGAAAAATATGGATCTTTTCTGTTACTTTGATAGCATAATGTTTACTAAATTCAAAGGTCACAGGAAGAGCCTAAAACAGAAGGAAAATCCTGAGCAATGGCAATATTTTACTAATAATACATGTGAAGATCCAGATTTCTCATCTGATTTTCTGTTTAAAGAAAAAGGATGGCTCTTCAGGTGGTCAAAAAACAAAGGGAAAAGTAGCATTTGCAAAAATGTTTAATCATTTTTTGCTTCTTTTTGTCAAAATATTGAGCAGTGCAGCAAATTAGCAATGTATTATGGTTAAGCATAGTTTTAGTACACTGGGATTGATTTGGTTGAACTTTGCTATAGGCTAGATGATGAAACATCATGTAACGTGGTAACTATACATACATAGCAAAGAGTGAATATAATTAAAAAGGGGCTTTATGTTGCTATATTCTTGGGCTGATTTATAATGAAGTACCTGGTTTAAATATACTATAACAATATAAACCATACTTCGCAGCAGTGTGGCTTATTCCCATTATTCCGGGTGTCTGCACCTGTGTACCTCATAGTTTGCACTGATGGGCACAACCTGCAAGGTGGACAAGCATTAAAGAACTGCAAACTGTTAATCTCCAACAGTAGGCTTACTAGTTTATTTCTTAGGCACGTGTGTGAAGTGAATTCATATGTCATGATGTAGACCCAACTGGTGACTGGGGAGATATTCATGGAGATACCTGTGAGTGTTTGATGAATATATGCACTTAAAAGAGAACATGTATTAGGTTTCACTGCCCAAAACATTAATGCTTTTAATGAAGATTTTTCATCTTTTTTAATAAGCCCAGCATGGCTTGCTTAAAAACAATCTGGAGACTGCTAAATAAGTTGAGCTAGTGAAAAAATTTTTTGCACTCATCTGCCTGCCTCAGAGGCAGAGGCAGAGGCAGGAAACCCCAGATTAGTGAATTAGAATTGCAGAAAACCTATTTACAGATAAGAATTATATTATAAATGAATGCAAAACCTATAATTGTTTCAAAGATTTCATGTATCAGGAAAGCAGCACCCTGCTGCTAAGACTTAACTTCGCAGAAGGGCAGGTCCCTTCAGAGATTTCACTTTGCTTAGAGCTGATTGGCAATTATACTTCTTCACACTGATGACATGATGTCCTCTTTTAAAAGATTTTAGTGCTCCACAGAATCTAACTGAATGATCTCCTCTTGAGATATGACTCTTTTCCTTTAAAGATAATCATGTTAATGACCTGATATGGAGAGCAAAAAAGTTTTCCCATGTGAAAATGTCTGCATTTACATTCTAGGTTACTCTGTATTGCTAGTTCATGATGTTCTAGCAGGAGAGATTAAGTGAAGCAAATCAGCCTTTTGATGATGTACACATAGATCACAGGTTATAATGCCAGTGCCTGACCTGCCCACAGGTGCATAAACACAATACAGGATAATGAAATATGCTTTGTATAGGAAAGAAACACCAAATACACAAGTATAGCCTGGGGTAACTGGGTAAGCAGTAGCAATGCTAAAATGGGTTTGGGGGTTATGATGGATCATGAACTCGACAGGAATCAGTCACCTGACTTGATGATATGGCAAAAAAGCGAAAGAAATTTTGAGTTGCATTAACAGAAAAATGTATGTTAGACACAGGAGGTAATAGTATCACACTAGTCAGCACGGGTTAAGCTGCTGGTGGAATACCCTGTCCACACTTGTAGAAGGACGTGGAAAAACTGGAAAAATGTGGATTTGGGTTTTTTTTAAATCAGAGAATTTTGGATTTTTTTTATCACAGAAAACTAGGATCACTGCTTATAATCCAACATCTTTACTTTCTTCCTTGCCTCACTCTGGATTCTGTCCAGTTTCTCCACGTCCTTCTAAAATTGTGGACAGGTTATTCCACCAGCAGCTTAACCAGTGCTGACTAGGGTGATACTATTACCTCCTGTGTCTAACATACACCTTTCTGTTAATGCAACTCATAATTTCTTTTGCTTTTTTGCCATATCATCAAGTCAGGTGACTAATTCCTGTCGAGCTCATGATCCATCATAACCCCCAAATACATTTTAGCATTGCTACTGCTTACCCAGTTACCCCAATCCCCAACCCCTTTTTAGCACTGCTTTTGCCAGTCCAGTTACCCCATGCTATACAATTGCTATACAATTGTTTTATACCCCATGCTATACAATTGTGTATTTGGCATTCCTTTCCTATACAAAGCATAGTATATTCCATTTTCCTATATCATGTTTATGTGCCTGTGGGCAGGCCAGGCATTGGCATTATAACCTGTGATCTATGTGCGCACCACAAGAGGCAAATTTACTTCACTTAATCTCTCCTGCTAGAATATCATAAGATAGCAATACAGAAGTATGTAAACTAGAATGTAAATGCAGACATTGTCACGTGAGAAATTTTTTTTGCTCTCCATATCAGGTCATTTAACATGATTATCATTAAAGGAAAAGAGTCACTATATATATATATATATATATATGTGTGTGTGTGTGTGTGTGTGTGTGTGTGTGTGTGTGTATGTATGTATGTATGTATGTATGTATGTGTATATATATAGTGGTGTTTTGTTTTAATCATGGGAAAATGTTGCTTTTGGGGTGTTTTTTATGAGGAAATTATGATTTTTGAAATTTCTCTTATTTTTTTTAAATCAGAGAAAACAAGGATCACTAATTATAAGTGATATATAAAAGGTTGCAGGACTAGGTATATTTAGTATGAAAGACAAGGAGACTTAAGATGGATATGACAGCAGTTTTCAGATATTTGAATGTCTTCCATTAAGATTGAGGAGAAAATGTGCTCTCCCTTGCCACAGAGGTCAGGATGTGAAGAAATGGGTTCAGGCTTCAGAAAAAGATTTAAATCAGATCTCAGAGAAAAATTCCTAACTGTAAGAAAAGTAGGACAGTAGAAGCAGCTTCCCAGGGAAAATAAAATTCCCTTCTTCATTGGGCATTGTCAAGAAAATGCTGGGTAGCTACTGTCCTAGACAGTTTGTGAACAGGGGATCCTGAATCTGTGGACAGGGTTGGGTTGTGTGAACTCTGCAATTGTTTCCAACCTTATGATTTTATGACAGAAGAGTAGGAATTTGTCACTTTCCAAATCAACGCGTGTAAGGAAAATCTGCCTCCTGTGCACCTGCTGAGATGTGAAGAATAAGAGCAGCTATAATGCTCTTATGATTTTCTGTTGATCTAAGGCCCTGTTCCTCATCCAGTTTTTTGTGTGTAAACTAGTAAGTGCATACACCTTAGACAATAATAGTTGCCCACATAAACATTCAGATAGAGGTAATATAGCTTGTCCATAGATGGACCATAAAGCTTGTCATTGTTTGTAGTCTGTAGCCATGTTTACATGAGATGCTACTTTGCAATAGCAATGAGCAACTGCACAGCAGCACTGAGGGGCACTAACCATGACACAATGCTACTGCACAGGAGTAATGAGCTACTGCATAGTAGTTCATTGCTACTGTGCAGTAGCATCAGAAAAAAACCATGTGGGGATGCTGATGCACAGTAATGCTGGTTACCGGGCAGTGATTTAGTACAGTGTTTCCCAACATTTTCCAGCCCAAGGCACACTTACATTAATAAAAATTTTCCACAGCACACCTGTTATGGCATTCTCCATCCTCATACCTATTGGAGCTCCTTGTATCTCATTGCCAAGGCAAAACTCCACGGCACACCTGTTCATTTCTGAAGGCACACTTTTGTGCCGTGGCACATTGGTTGGGAAACACTGATTTAGTATTTGGTTATACAAGTACTAAATGACTGCCCAGTAGCAACTGTGCAGTCCACCTCTCATGTAGACGTGGCCTCTATGAAAGAAAACTGGATAGGCCAGCATTTGAAAAAAGTGTATTGTGCTGTTAGTTTCTTGATTATAACTTAAAGCCATGATAGCCATGGAAGCAGAGAGAGCCTGGAAATTAAGCTACTGAAAGAAGCAGGTGTACTCTGTTTAAATTAACTCCGTTGGTGAAGAGAATTTTTGCTGATGCTCACGTTTTCTCTACCCAGTAAACACAATGGTTTGCCTTGCCATGCTTCTGTAAAATCATGTGGAGATTTTTGAGTGGGCTATGGAAGGGACTAGAAAGCCAATCTGAGCTGCTTTTAAAAGATGTGCTACATTTTACATGAAGAATATTTATTTACTTGATTGGCTCTTCAGACCCTTAGGCAGTCTCTACCCCTGGGTCCTCAGTCCCCACAATTATATTTTGTTAATTAAAAAAACCCATAAAAATAGATATTCCCAAACAATTCCTAACTACATTCAAATTAATATAATTCAAATGTATTTCTCTAAAACAGTACAAAATGAAGTGGCTAATCTATGCTATAAAATGTTATTGTTCTGAAACCTGATTTTGAAGAATTGAGATCATGGCAGGCACTGTTGGTGCCTGCCACTTTAAGGGCTGGGTCAGGCATCCAGCAGGTGCCTGATGGCTGCAGCCATTTTGAGACCCTAGTATATAAAGGCTGCAGTCTGTTGCCAGCCAGGCAGAAATATTGCCTAGCTGAGCTGCAGCAGGAACAACCCAGCAGGTAAGGGTAAGAGCTGATGGGGATGGCTAGGAGGCTCTTGGTCCTAGGCATGACCTGAAACTGCACCCTGTCAGAGATGGGTGGCCTGGTGGGGCTCCTAGTGATGTGGGAGCCCCCCAGAAAATGTCAGGCCAGTTGCCACCCCGGTGAAAGGTGAGTCACGGCTCCTTCATAACCCCAGCTCCCACAACCAAGTGGGTAACCCCATAGTAGGGCTGAGAAAGTGGACCTGAGAGAGAGAGTGGGCTAGATGCTCAAGAAGCCTGACTTGAGGCACCCTCAACTGGTCAATGCTGGGGCCAGGACCAGAAGGGTCAAAAGGGCCAGGGGCTCACTGCAAGGGATACCCAGAGCCGAGGGCATGGGGTTCCTACTGTCGTTGGAGGTGAGGCCAGGGTCTCTGTGTGGCCAAAGGTCCTGGGGGGGCCACATCCAAGAGGAGTAAGAGTACAGGGAGCTAGGTAGCCCAGAATGAGGGCAGATAGGCTGCCTGATGGAAGAGATCCAGTTGGGGTTCAGACTGGAGGATAATGGAGCCCAGTGTAGAGCCAGAGATGCAAATAATGGTGATGCCATCTGTGAGGCATGGGCTGAAGTGTAGGATATGTCAGAGCTGCAGATAATGCCCCCTGGCATTGGGACAGTAATGGGCAGTGTACCTGCCTCTGCTCTACTAGGTGTTCCCGCGCCGCCTTTGCCCGGGCCCAAGGTTTCGTGTGCCCTGGCTTCGTGAGTGCACCCTGGAGGTTACCCCTGCTGGTATCAGGGGGACCCCCTGAACTCGTCTGCCACGACTTTGATGGTACCTTCAGTGGGATACCTCCCTTGGGGTATCCACCGGCGTCGGCGCGTTCCTCGACGGGTAATCTCGGGGCGCCGTCCTCCCCTACATCCTGGCCACTCACCACCTTAGGCTCTACCTCCTATGGCCTTAACATCATCCTGGCTTGCCACCCTCTTGCCTCAATACGCCGGCCGTCAACAACGGTCTTCGGGCTGAGCGTACTGCCTATAGGGATGCCAGCCTGGCTCCTCCGGCCTCGTACTTGCTTTGCTCTGGTGGTCCACAAGGTTGCCGTATCTACTGCTGGCTCCCCTCTATATGGGGCACCTGGTTACCTCACCGATGCCCCCTCTCCCGATGTGGCTGGCCGCTCCTGCCCCTTACGCCACAACTGACTTCACTACCAGCTCTGTGGTCTGGGATCCAGCTGGCTCCTCCCCCGGCTCTATTGCCGGTGCTGCAGCTGATTCCTTCCCCAGCTAGGCTGCCTGGGGCCCTCTCTGCCCATCCTCCAACTCTATCGCCGGCGTTGCCACTGGCTCCTTCCCCAGCTAGGCTGACCAGGCTCCCGCCAGCTCCTCTTCCAGTCCTGCTACCGGTGCTGCCACCGGTTTCCCCACCGGCTAAGCCGATAATCACAGTGCTGGCTTCTCCACCAGCACTGCTGCCAGCTGCTCCGCTCCGTCTCTCGGAGCCGGGTCTGGCTCTGCCTCTTTCCTTCCCGCACACCGCGGGTGGCGGCTGACTCCCCGTTTGCTGAGGCTTATCGCTCCAGCTTCCTCCGCTCAGCCACCCCGTTGCCTCGGCGGGGCCGCCTTTTGTTCCCTCCGGAAGGCGTCCCCCGCCCCCGCTGCTTTGCCGCAGCCGGATAAGTGCCCGGCTGACAACCCGCGCCGGCGTTCTCGGCACGTGTGCCTCCCTCTGATCTTCCGGCCCTGCAGGAGGTAAGCGGGACCCTTTGCTGCCCCGGGGGCCTTCCGGCATCCCAGCTCCCCTGGGACAGGCAGCTTCCCTTGGCATACCATCAGTTTATGAGAACAGCAAAGTCTTGGCAGGAGAGACTGGGTGGACTGCCCCATAGAGACAGGTGGGTGGGCCGGCAGGAGATCCAGCCCCGAGAGCTGCCCCCTGTCACAGAGATCTTGGACAAGATGCTGACCAAGATCAGGGCAAGTTGTGTTCATGATTGCATAATTTACCTATCTTTTTTTCTAGCAGAAGGCACTGTAAAGTTGATCAAGCTTTTGCAAGTAATTATATTTAAATATCTGCTTTTAAAGATTTTTAAATTTTATTTAATTTTTAAGAGCAAGTATGAAGTTCAAATTCTCTTTCTGTGGTATGGTATGTGTGATATTTTATGGTACATGATCCTGTAGTTATTAAATTATTTCATTTGGAAGATCTGAATAAAGAATTTGTGTTGCAGTGTGATTGTTAAACTTTTGTATTTGTGCTTTGAAGGTCAGTACTGCTGAGCTCAAATGGAATGTTATAAAGGGGGTTTATTTGTGTGCTGATGAGTGTAGCAATGGGTTGAGAGTATGTATGAGAGTAGAAATGGGTGAGTGTGAGTGCTACAGTGTTTGTTGGGTATAGCATAGAGAATGACATTGTATTGAGTGTGTATTTTGGCTTATGATTGCATTGCTTTTTAAAGTTTTTTCATTATGAACAAATGTGTTTGTGTGACCTGAACTCTTACGTTCTCTCTTTGTATAAGGCTTTATACAAGTTTATGTGCTTTATCTTTCTTTTTGTGGTGATTGTTAAAGGGTAAAAGGCAGAAATTTAGAGATTAGACAAAATGCATGTTGTTATGAGGTTTCCTTATCTATTGCCAGAATGGAGGCTGATATGAACAATTATATTCATTGTAAAGGTCATGGACAATGTAACTGTGGAAGATGTGACTGTAAAGGAGGATGGACTGGAAAAAAGTGTGAACATCCACATTCTTGTCCATTATCAGTTGAAGAAAGCACTAAGAAATGCCAAGGAAACTCTAATTTACCATGTTTTGGAAGAGGTAGGTAAAGTTCTTTAAGATGTGTCATGGTCTCAAAATGTGGCTTGCATTTAAAAAAAATTGCATTTTCTAAAGCATTTGAAATTTCCCGGCTTGTTGTATCTGAGTCATAGTCCGCAAACTTACACGGGGACTGAAGGGAGAATAGGAGAAAAGGTACCTGTTTTTTCCCCCTCTGATATCTGCTGCATTATACTAGATTATATTTAGCTGTGTTTTTAGATTTTCAAAGATATATTAGTTCTTTACTCGGAGTATAATATGGAACCTCATGGGCTTATTCTCTATACCCTCGCTTTGGACACAATTCCTAGGGAACTGACTGTGTCAGATCTTCTGGCTGTGTAAAATTGTGTAGTTCCATTAACTCTGATGAAACTACTTAGATTTATGCCAGCTGGGAATCTGTCTCAGTTGCTGAGTTGGTCTTAAATCATTTTTCTAATTGTCTCCTTGTTTTTCCTTTTGAAAGCATTGGATTGTTTTTGTCTGTGCCTTCTGAAAAATTGTTGTCTAAAATGTTTATTTATAAAAGGCTTAAAATATATAAGTGCACTACAAGCATGTAGTCTCAGGTGTGCAACTGAAATACCATAAACACAAATCACAAGCAAGAGAGGGAAAATCTCTTTAAAAGAAATGGATTCTATTCATTCTGATTTATCAAAATTGAAAATATGCTTTCTTCATCTCAGAAGAGAATAGAAAGGTAAATATGGAATAGGCTTCTGCCAGAATTGGTAATTGAAATCCTTATGAATTCTGCCCACAAAAGCATTTGCTGGGGAAGAACTAAAGCTGCTCTTCAACTATTGAATCTGACCCTAAGTGTCATTTAATTTGCGAGTGCTTTTTTCACTAATACTCTCTAAAATAACCAGGAGTCAAAGGTGATAGGCTATACATCTGAGTTAGCACAGCCACGTAAGATATTTGGTGATATATTTTTTTTTCACAACCGTGTGGAAATGTTCATAGCCTCTCTCTCTCAGAACTAGCTTCCTCCCACAAGAGAAGGGACTTAACTGCTGGCTTTCATTAGACCACTGTTCCCTATAGGCCATATCTCTTCAGTCTCAGTGAAAATTCTCAGAGGGCTTTTATGGTTACAAACTAAGATCTGATCTTGTAATGAGGTTTGTGTGGACAAATGCCTGCAACTGCACAGAGCTCATTGCAACATCATGATCCAAATCTTAATCTTAATCATAATCTTAATCATAATCTTAAGGATTATGATTACCTGAAAGATTTTTTTTTCCAGAAAAATGGCTTAGTATGGGCCTAGAACTACCAGGTACTGAGTACCCATACCTCCCATTCATTTTACTGGGAGTCAAGAATGCTCAGCACTTTCCAGGAAATGCTGTTTCGCACAGGATTGGACGCTAACTTATTTATCCAAAAAATACATCACATGCTGCAAGTGACACTTTTTCATGTCTCAGTCATAAAAAATGAGTTTGGTTTGTACAGAAACCTAGGACTGACATACTGGGAAATATTATATTAATAGTTGAACAGTGAATGGATTGTAAAGGCAACTGTGGGGAACCGTAATTTTAAGAAGCCTTTAAATGCCCACATGAAACTGTTAATAGAGATGATTTTACTGGCTTAGCAGAACTGGCTGTATGGGAAGAGATAAGAAATCATGCTTGAGGTGATGTCACATTAAATGGCCAGACATGGAATGAGCCATTTTGAAATGAGTTTGGACTGACTGGCTGGTTTTGATATCCATAGGTTTTTGTATGTGGTCATGCAAATGGTAGACCTCCTAAATAAAATTTAGGTTGTTTGGAGGTGCTGATAAATTTCCACAACTCCCAGTGATGTTAGAATAAAAGAAAATTTCCTAAGGTTTGAAGGGAACACAGATATTCATGCAGAGCTTAGTCGAGCAGATAGGTGCTGGGCTGAGAAGCAAGGAATTCTGCTCCCAACATCACAGGTCACTCCTATCTCACCCACAATGTCAGGGGCAAAAGAAGAGATTCATCTCTTTCCCAGTACAAACTTTTCAAACATGTCCTTGGGCATGTCCACACCTGCCAGCATGTGCGCTTGCAGCAGCTCGGACATGCACTTCGTTGTGGAGCAAATTGTGCTACTTGGGGCAAAATAACCCTACCTGGCTTGTCCTGGATCTGCAGCCAGGGGGAGCTAGAGCCTGGGGCCAGCACCTGTGCTGTCCCCAGCAGTATAAAAAGCTGCCCTGTCCTGGCCCCATCCATACAAAAACCTGCCCTGGCAAGCAGCTCAGGGCTACTTGCTCTCAGGAGCTTCTGGGGCCCAGCCAATTGGTACCTGGGGACACTACCCCTTGTGCCAGCTGGACTGCTGCAGCAGGATCCCAAATCCATTTTTAAAAATACCCCAAAATCCATGTTCTTCCACAGTTAAAACAAAAAACCACACACACACACACACACACACACACACCCCTATAGAGAGACAGCAATCAGTTGGGCAATGCTTTATTGGTATATTTACAATGTTAAAGCAGTTTGGAAGCCTACCAGTATCTCTATCATCATGAAAAAAATAAATTCTAAAGACCTATACATGTCGGTGTGTGCTTTTAATTTTCCTCACACATGATGGGTGTGATAGGGCAATGTGGTGTTTGTTCCCCCCTAGAGGGCCACAGCCCCTATCCCCCACATGGCCCTAGCCCCCCTGCCCAGGACCCATAAATAACCTTTCACTGCAGCAGCGGGGGGACCGTGCGCTGAGCCCAGCTGGGTCCTGCAGGCCCTGGGGCTGCTCCTGCCACCCAGCCGGGCTGGTCTCATGGTGGCAGGACCCAGCGCGGCATGTGGGGATGACATGCCGGGCCCAGCCAGGTCCTGGGTCCCCTCTGCTGCCTGGCTGGGCCGGTCCCATGTCAACAAGACCTAGTGCAGCATGTGGGGACCGCAGGCCCCAGCCAGGTCCTGGGGCCTCTTTGCTGCCCAGCTGGGCCAGGCCAATGGCAGCAAAACCTGGCACAGCACGCAGAGGCCATGTGTCAGGCCCAGCCAGGTTCTGGAGCCCCTCTGCAGCCCAGCCAGGCCAGGCCCATGGTGACAGGACCCGACGTGGCACACGGTCCCCAGCACATTGGGCTGGGCAGCATGAGCAGCCCCAGGGCCAGCAGGACCTGGCTCGGCTCTGCACGGGGACTGCATGGAGCTGAGCCAGGTCCTACCAGGAAGGGCCCAGCCAGGTGGCAGGGCCCGGCACGGCACACAGGGACCACGTGCTGTGCCAGGTCCTGTCACCATGGGCCAGCCCCAAGGGCCAGCTCCCACCTCTGCCCCCTGTGCCTGCAGGGGGATGAGGACCTGGCCCAGCCCCATGTGACTCTCTAGTCCGGCTTTGCACCAGAGTGGGTCACCAGGGCTGTAGGAGGCGCGGCTCCTGTGCACGGCTCCCAGAGCCATGCGACCTGCTCTGGTGCAAAGCTGGACTAGTGAGCCGCAGGGATCTGGGCCTGGTCCTCACTCCCTACAGCCCCGGGGACAACCCCCCCACCACTCCTCAAGGAACACAAAAGAGCCGAAACCAGAGCGTCTCTTTTGGAGGGCTGGCTCCCGGTACAATCTGGAACCATGTCTTGCTCCGCTCTATTGTGGAGTGATTATTTTTTTAGACCCCTGGATATCCAGGGGTCTAATTTTTCTCATGTGGGGAACACTTTCATTCCTGCACGTGCCTCTTGCCCTGCCTCAGAGGGGTTTGAGGTGGGGCAAGAGGCACGTGCGTGCTTGTCTGGACATGCCCCTTGATAGTAAGACCCATGTTGTCTCCTTTGTGGATGTCTATCTCTCTCTTTCTACCAATGCCTTCAACAATGCAGTTATGTATTGACAAAACAAAAATCTGTTCAATATCATCAGGGATCCTGGTTTCCTCTGATAACTGCCCCGCCCCCCAAAATGTTTTAATTAAAAAAAGTAACCCAAGATCCACATTTTCCCATGATTAACATGAAATTTTATTTTAATTGTAGACAAATGTGGACCTTGGGTTACTTTTTTAAATCTGAAAATTGGGGAATTTTTTTTAATCGGAGAAAACCAGGTTCTCTGAATGTCAATAGTTGAAACTTTGGTGCCAGTGTAAAATTAAATTGAATATGATGCCCAAATATAAATATCTATAGGTTTTCTGCTGTGCTCCCACTGCTTCAATCACAGTTACAAGGAAAACTTGCATAAACAAACTCTTCAGGACTATGAGGAATGGGCAAGTGAAATGCCAAATTACATTTTATATCAAATTATCTTATTTTCCACATAAATTCTAGGCGTTTCTGTGTAATTCAGTAATATTGACCTTTTGGTAGAGAAATAGCCATCATTAAGAGAGTATGTCTTTAAGTATACTGAAAAAATGTTTTCATTTGGCAATATTACATCAAAGAACCCTTAAGAGATGAGTGAACTTGAAAGTGAGAGAGGGGCTTGAGCAGTGGGGAACTAACTGGCCTGCATTCAGCTCCTACCTCAGCTATAGGCTTTTTGTGAATACCCCTGCTGCTCACTTTGGACTTGCCTACCTCAGAGGGGCTTTATGAGGAAGACAATCCATTACTGATTGGTTATGAGGTTATGGGACACTACAGTGAAGATGGCTGTGTAATCATCTAGCTAGAAAGGCATAGCAGGAAT